AGTGAATGTTCGGCCCTTTAAACGGCTTAGTAGACACAGTGGGTCCACATAGGGTGGGAGTGGCAAACTATGATTCCAAACTAATGGTACAGGATCGTGATGGAACAAATGACTTATGAGTCTATTGTTGGTCACTGGCTATCATAAGATTGCATCTCCTAAAGTTGCTCCACTGCTTTGTGGATTATATCTCTAAGTCAAAGACTCGAAGAGTGGGCACCTAAGAAAACCACCTGCTTCTGTTTGAACTTCTGAGTAGTATGCCAGCATATGTATTTGGTGCTTACTTGTACTAATGTTTATGTTCTTAAATAATTATATATATATATATATATATATATATATATATAGTGAATTTCCATCTTTTCATATATTATAGGATCGAATGATTTTTTGTTGGGATTGTGATCGTGTATTTCATGCACTTTGTATCCCAACTCGATTACCTCGTACCCTTGATGCCCATTGGACCTGTGATATTTGTTTGCATGAAATATATAATAATAATAATAACAATAATAGACCTATATTTGATCAACGTACACATACTAATTCTGGTTATGAAATTTATGCAAATAATACTTGTAATACTAATATTAGTAGTAGTAATACTAATACTACTACTACTACTGATAATAATAATAGTAATAATGACAGGAATAGTAACAATAATGATGATAATAATAGTTTTCATCAAATGATGAATACTGGCAATGGTTATTTTACTCATAATGTACAGCATCATACACAAAATACAGCTCGTTCATAATGATTCATATATTCTCTTTTAAATTTTAATATTGTCCTGTACAATTGCTCATTTTTAATTTTAATTAATTAATTATAAAAATAAAGAAAAGAGAATACATGAATAATGATTTTTATTTTTGTTCTTTTTTCTCTTCATTTTGTTTCAAAAAATTTTTTTTATTTATTTTAACTTGGTTTATTGTTTTATTCTTTGTTGTGCTCCTTTTTTCTCTTTTCTTTTTGTTTTCTCCCTCCCTCCCTCCCTTCGTCTCATTATCATTGATCAATATTTACTGTTATTTATATTGTGTATATCAGCTTTAATGTTTTTTGCAGTAATATATATCTATGTAAATGTATATTGAACAAATGTGAAATTCTGTTTATCTATGCATTTCATACATGTGCATTATTGTAGTTTGTTTATCAATATGGTTTATAAGAAGAGAAATCAAGTGTTTCATTTACTTAGTTACAATAGGCTCTACTTGGAATTATATATATATATATATATATATATATATATATATATATATATATATATATATATATATATATTAAAGTATGTAATAGGTATGTATCTTTAATAACATTGTGATTATTTGTTCTATTTCTTTTCTTTTTGTTGATTATTTCTTGTGTTGTTAACTTTAAACAACAAGAAAAAAGTTTGTGATCAAAATGTTGGTATCATAAACTGAATAGTTTTTCATGACTTATTTATTAGTTGAATGAAATTTGGTCATTCTTGTCTCTTCTCTCTCTCTCTCTCCCACACACACATCCCTTTTTGTTGTTATTATTATTATCTAGGTGTCAAATTTGTTGTTTGTGCTCAATTCTAATGATAATATTAATGACTGTTAATTATTATTTATTTATTTATTGTTGATCAGTCAATGTATCACACTCCTCCTTAATGAGTAACTTTTATTTTTTTGTAATGCAATCTATTGTTAGGCAAATATTTAGGGATAGGGATACTTAAATTGAGTTGTACAATTAATTTTAATGACTATTTACAGATATATACATATGCACGTCAATTCTGTGTAATAATTAGTTACTTTTTTTGTTTCTTCTTCTTTTCTGTTCTGTTCTCGATGTTGCTTTTGATGTTGTCTGTCACAGTTAGTTCATTCAATTTAATCATTATATTCTGATAACTTATTTTTCTTCAGTGTATTTTCTTTTTTTTTTGTTTTTTCATTTCTTATTTATGTATTGTTATTATTAATTTTCATTACAACTTAAACGATTCATTTTGATCTTGTTTTCGTCCCTACTCCTCCCCTATGAAAAATTTAGTTATATTTTGTTGACATGAACTTTTGCAATTTGTGTGTAAATGTTATACCATTGTGGTGTCAGGCGCCGGTTGTTATTATTTCAAAAGCTATAAAGGCCTATATACACAAAGCAGTTGAATTGATATACATTACATAAATATATACATATTCCACATAATATGCATAAAAATCAACGAATGAATCTTCATTTCGTTTCATATTATTATTACTTCTATGATTATCTTTTTATCATATTCACTTCGAAAGAAAGCACAACAGAAATATAATGTTTCTTTTGTTTTTTTTTTGTTTCCCAAACTCTACTTTGATTTGCAATAAAGAATTATTTGTTTTTTCTAGGCGATTTTTTTGTTGAGAGATGTCCTAATTTAAAGTGTTCTGATGTTTTCGAGTTAGTGAGTATTTTTGTTTGAACAGTGGTTACATGGGCTATGTGACATGAAATTATTAAGTGATATTTTTTTAAAAATCGTCAACAAGGTGTATTGTCTCCAGTCGTGGATGGCTTAGTCGTACAAAAACCCAACATTTCAATGTTTAAATATAGGGCTATTGAAGGTGATCGGCAAAAGAGCAATAGCGTTCACAAGTTTACATATACTTTTTTCTGACGAGTGTGATCCTAGGTTCAGGGTCTTCAACGTCTAACCACCCAGCACCAAAATATAATGCACACAATGCCGATGTGGTTTGTTACTACATTGTAAATCGAACGGTAATTCCCGGGTATCTTTATACAGGATAATACTCGTAATTGTTGTCCAATCGTATCTATTCACATCATACTATCACATTTTAACTGACTGAACTTACATGTAAGATCCGATCAGATCTTCAAGTAGCTTGGTCTCGGCTTATTCATTTGGTGATATCCCTCAATTAAGACATCGCTTTTCACTGTCTAAATGAATCTCTTTCTGCAATGTATGTTTACTATAGTTAACTGGTGTTAAGCCTGTATATCAAACCTTAACTTCACCAATCAGTGATGAATTGACAAAAATTGTGTTTCAAAATGACTTTCAATTACGCTAATTGTTATCAAATGTTTTGCTTGTGTTATGCTGCTGAGGTAATAACGAAATGTCTTGCGCAAATATATAATTTTGATAAACTTCATCTTCTTATTGTATTATCGAAATTTATCAAAAGGACAAATTGTTTTAATATCACTTCATCGGACTTACGCCTGTTACTCCCAATGGAGCATAGGCCGCCGACCAGCATTCTCCAACCCACTCTGTCCTGGGCCTTCTTTTCTAGTTCCATCCAATTCTTGTACATTTTTCTCATGTCTGTCTCCATTTCCCGGTGTAATGTGTTCTTTGCTCTTCCTCTTTTCCTTTGGCCTTGAGGATTCCATGTGAGAGCTTGTCTTGTGACGCAGTTTGGTGCTTTCCTCAATGTGTGTCCTATCCACTTCCAGCGCTTCTTCCTGATTTCTTCCTCCGCTGGGATCTGGTTTGTTCTCTCCCACAGTACGTTGTTGCCAATAGTGTCCGGCCAATGGATATGAAGTATTTTGCGTAGACAATTGTTAATAAACACCTGTATTTTCTGGATGATGGCTTTCGTAGTTCTCCAGGTTTCTGCCCCATACAGTAGAACTGTCTTGACATTTGTATTGAAAATCCTGACCTTAATGTTGGTTGACAGTTGCTTTGAGTTCCAGATGTTCCTCCGTTGTAAATATGCTGCTCTTGCTTTGCCGATCCGCGCCTTCACATCTGCATCAGATCCACCCTGATCGTCAATGATGCTGCCCAAATATGTAAAGGTTTTTACATCTTCCAAATCTTCTCCGTCAATTGTGATTGGATTGGTGCATTCTGTGTTGTATCGGAGAATCCTGCTTTTCCCTTTGTGTATATTGAGACCTATTGCTGCTGCCACACTGTTCGCCTTCTCCTGCATCTGTTATCGCGTTTGGGATAGAAGGGCCAGATCGTCTGCGAAGTCTAGATCATCCAACTGCATCTTAGATGTCCATTGTATCCTGCGCTTCCCTTCAGACGTTGACGTCTTCATGATCCAGTCGATCACCAAGAGAAAGGGTGAGAGTAAGCGACCTTGCCTAACACCGGTCTTCACTTCGAACGACTTTGTCAACTGTCCTCCATGCACAATTTTGCAGTGTAATCCATCATATGAGTTCTGTATGATATTGACTATCTTCTGAGGCACGCCGTAATGTCGACGAAGTTTCCATAGTGTTGTTCTGTCCACGCTATCAAATGCCTTTTCATAGTCAATGAAGTTGATGTAGAGTGATGAATTCCATTCAATTGATTGTTCCACAATGATCCGTAGAGTTGCGATTTGGTCTGTACACGATCTATCCTTCGGGAATCCTGCCTGTTGGTCACGAAGTTGGGCGTCTACGCAGTCCTTCATCCTGTTTAACAATATCCTGTTGAAGACTTTTCCCGGTATTGAGAGAAGAGTGATGCCCCTGTAGTTATCACACTTGCTGAGATTGCCTTTCTTCGGTATTTTGATCAGAAGTCCTTCTTTCCAGTCTTTTGGTACTTGTTCCTCATCCCAAATCTGATTGAAGAGAATGTGGAGTATCCTTGCAGTTTCCGCTTCGTCTGCTTTTAGTGCCTCTGCTGGAATGTTGTCTGGTCCTGCTGCTTTGCCACTCTTGATTTGTCTGGTGGTCATGCTGATTTCTCCAATTGTTGGTGGGCCAACATTGATTGGGAGGTCCGTGGGTGCTGCTTCGATGTTGGGTGGGTTCAGTGGAGCTCGTCACTTCATCGGAGCTTTGTATCAATAGTTTGATTTCGCAAGTGATTATTAATAGACTACACTAATCGTAATAAATCACAATCTAAAGTAAAAACCCCATTACGACTATCTACTAAAACATTCGGGTATTTATTCCCGATATCTGCGATAGATTCCAAGTATTCCTTAGTATAAGAAAAAGAAACAATTCAAAGTAGTGAAACTTCATCAACTGCAAATCTTCATTTATTTTCATTGCAAAATGATCCAAACATTACGAAAGACAAAATAAATTAGATGTGGTTTTGTTTCTCGTGTCTTTTCATAGTAACTTTTTGTTTTAAGAAAAAGAAACATTAAAATTGTATGTTTAAAAATAATTATGATTAGTAAAGAATGATTAAAAGGTGTAACAAGATAATCAATATCACTCTCTATAAACATACACTACAAAAGTAGAAATCGATAATATAAAGAGAACAAGTGATAGATATATGTACAACTTCATAAACAATAACAAAATATAATGAATAAAGCTATTACATAAACTCTCTTAATGGATCCCATCGTTCATCAGTTAGATCTTCATCTTCTTCATCATTTTCTACGTCACCGGAATCTTCACCAATTGATACATCAGAGATTGGACCTATTACATCTTCATCATCTGCACTGGATTGATTTATATCTTCTGGACTATCATCGGCACCAAATAGGCATCGTGTTAAATTACCATGACCTCTTTTTTGATAAGCTATATTATTTTCATATTTGCATGATTCATATCTATCACGTCGAGAATCATACAGTATTTCTCGAGTACGTTCAGCATCAGCATAATCATAACCTTCAGGGCAAGTGTTCCATTCTTTATTTTCTGCATCTTCTGTATCTTGTATCCACCAATTAGTATTCGGTTCAGGATCAGAGTGTATTGCTGGAGAGACAGATAAACGACTACATTTATGATGATGTGAACCAATAAGCCAACGTTTATGACTTGAAAAGCGATGTTTAGGAACTTTGTGAATGTGCTCGTCAGGGCCCCAACCCTAAAAAGGGAATACACGTTTATTCCATGAAATGAATTTATCTTGGAAATTATAAAATTGATTAGAGAAAAAAATACACTGGTGATTAGAAAACTAATAGTTTGATCAAATGTCACAGGAATGACATATTTCATTCTGTCAAATAAGACTTGAAGTCTTAATGTTTTTAAGAGAGTTAATGATGTGATTCGGTAGCCAAGTACACAACTTCGTGTATTGGTTTAGTGTGAAAACTAGAAAATAATTGGACTATTTGAACCGACATATTCTGTTACAAATAACTTCAGAGGCATGAGTATGAGAGTACTTACAGCAGAATTAAAATAGCGAGTACCAGCAGATTAAAAAAGGGATCCTTATCAAGATACTGAAGAGAGATCTTAGTAGGTGTGACAACTCAAGAGAAATCACACCATTTTCAGAACTAGGTGAAGTTTCAACAGGATGTCGCTGAACCAAAAAATAATTAAGTAAACACCCAACTTCGGGATCAACATGCTGGTGGTTTACGTAAGGATCGGTTACGTACCGACCAAATCACGATAATCCAGTTAACTGTTGAGCAATTAGCTCGACGGAACTTATCACTATACATCAACTTAATAATGAGAAACCATTCAACAGCGTGATTTTGAGAACCTTATAGAATGTTCTCCTAGATTATGGAGTATTTCAGGAAATCGTCGCTATCATTGAGAACTTTTACTACGAACTAGATTGTAAAGTCGTGTATGAGGAGCAGCTCACAAATGTATGGTGCTAGACAATTGTGCCCACTGCAGAATAATAATGAAATCTTTGCAATTAGACTTTCTAGCTTCCAGAATTTAACAACATCCAAAGCATCTATCTGAATTGCTAAGAAAAATTTCCACCATTTCAATGTTTAATGCACACCAAACGATATAGTGTATGGAATTTAAGTTATTCACAATAAAATAATCTTATCTATTTGTTTTTTACTTTTGGATAATCAGCATCGTATGAATCACAATCGCTGTCCGATTCATTAAAGAAATTATCATTATCACTGTTAATTGATTTCATTGATCCAAACATTAAATCATCGCATGAGCGTCGACGTCGACTTTCCCTACAGAAACGTTGATCTAAACGGCGAATTTCGCGGTCAATTTTTGTAGTTTCTACAGGAGATGCACGATGACGTCTACGTACTAGTAATTCCCTTTGTACCTGAATAAAATGTGAAATAGGATAGAAAGGTAAAATGAACGTATTTGATGTGAATTTTCGCCATAAATTTATATCAACTTAGAAAAGTAATGAAATTAGAAGGCATTTTTGTATGGACATTTTGTGAGAGACTAATAGGTCCTGGGTTCGAATCTCGCGAGGCGGGATCATGGGTGTGCACTGCCGAGTCCCACAATAGGACGAAACGGCCGTCCAGTGCTTCCAGGTTTTCCATGGTGGTCTAGCTTCAGTTGACCCTTCTGATATATATATATATATATCTGAGTTTCAATTAGAATGAAACAGCTATCAATCGTTTTAGAATGATAACACGGACAATAACAGTTCAAGGAGAAATGTTGTTTCTACTGAAAAAAGATCCTCCAAATTTATAACTAATGGAAACATGTTAGCTGAAAATTTTATGTCAAGATAATTAATTTTAAGAAGTAAGAGTTTAATTTAAGAGAATGGTAAGTAAACAACCTACAAAACTCGTGTCTTATGATTGTTTACTTTTTCTTCAAAAATGACTTTTAGTCTTAGAAAGATGTAAATCATTTATCCAACTAGACAGTCAGTCAGTTAGCTACAACGTAGGAACAGACACATATATGCATCGTTCTAAGTTGCCATACCCTATTAGCACAGCAAGACGAACACCGGGTTCATAGAAGTAGTTAACTCAATAGTGTAAGGTTATGATACAGGGAGAAAGAATTAGTTCGTAGGAAGAAAGATATGAAGCGAGAGAGTTATGACAATTTAATGCTGTGGAAGATTGAAAACTCTTTAAATACTTAACTATAATTATCTTCAAGAACATTGTTCATGTATGATGATGATTCGAATCCCGTAGTGGTAGAGGTAGTTAGAGTATAAGCAGTAATCGGAAACATTAGGGTTTGGAGATGTTATTTAAAGAGTATAATACAGTGAAATAAATTTGGGAAGAGAAAAGACAGGGAGGAATAAGGAGATCAAAATTTGGGAGAACACAAAGAGTGGATGCACCTGCGCCATTGCAAACGATTTTGAGCCATGTCATACAGCTTTCTTCCAACCTACTCTCATTCACCATAAAACATCGCACGTCGGGGTAGTCGGTGGTTGGACATACGTAACACATGTCCCAGCCATCTCAACTGATGAAGTTTCACTACTTGATCAGTTGATTTGCCATTCTTACCTAGTACCTGTTTCCTAACAACTACATTACTTACTCGATGGTCCCAGGATATACGAGCAATGTTTAGAAGACACCTATGATCGAATACTATGATGGGAAACAAGTTATATTGGCTTAAACATTCAATATTTCAGTACATTTAAAGATCTTCAAGTAAAAATATTTCCAAATTTGTATAATAAATCATCAAGAAGATAAGTTTGAATGATCCTTAATGTTATGCACAATTATTGTTTTGGATTTTCTAATCAACATTAAACTGAATCTTTCAATTCCTTACCTGCCAATTTAATGTTCTACGATCACATTCCATTGGATTTTTCATTAATTCATTAGTTGTATTATGAGATTTATGAAATTTAGTTAATTCAATAACAGATGTTTGATTGTCTGATGAAGAATCTGTTGATGAAGAATCATTAAAATTATCTATAGCTGGATCATAGATTTCAGCTTCTCGAGGAACTGATGTAGCTCTTTCAGTTACTTCTTCAAGAACAGCATCTTCAATTTCAGCGAGCATTTTACCAGTTGCCTATATAATGTTCATTTTGTGAAAAGAAAAGCAAAATGGTATATATGTATCCATGTAACAGACAATCTACTATTCCTACCCGCCCCACCAACCTAACATTTACATAATAATATACAAACCAGTAGATTTCGTTCATCAGAAACTTTATGGAACATAACATAGAAAATCAATTGAAAATGGTGTCAAAGAGCAGTTAATATCTTATTACTCGTGTAATAACACTCGGTTTTACTTCATCTAATGTTATAACGGTTGGTCTTCCACGTTTACATGTATGGGACGTTAATTTACTTTAGACGAATATCTACACTAGATCCCATCCCAGTGTCTATTCTACAGGACTTCAACACAACTCAGATGATCAAGAACATGTGATTAGCCTGACCACAACGTAAATATATTTCCACACTAAAAGCCGGCACAATCTAACAACAATGAACAATCATTAATTAGTGAGTAATAATAAGAATAGGGGAATATATAATTGATCTGACACCTGTCAGACTATCTACATGTCTGACTAAGCAGACACTTAATCATTATCCTCCACGCTCACACATCAACTCGCTAACTTATTAACAAATAATTTAGTTTTGTTTAAAATCAATCCAACTATAAGCCATACGTTGTCACTTGGTATTGTTTTACTTGAATCTTCCCATTGATGTTTGAGACTGCGATTGATCAGTCTCTTGTTGACATATGTGAATACTGTGCTTGTCTCGATATTGCTTTAACTTACATCCAGCTGACGAGTCCCAAATAAGACGAAACGCGCGTCCTGGATTTCACTACTAGCCACTATCCATCTTTGCTTATAATGCTTGTAAATTAAGGCAATACACACAGTATGCACATATGACAATAAGAGACTGATCAACTGCAGTCCTAAACATCAATGGGAAGATTCAAGTAAAGCAATACCAAGTGAATTAAACTTCACCTCATTGCACAAGCAAGTGGGTATCAGGATTCAGTAGCTAAGTGGATAACACGATGGCGTTTGAAGCGGACGGTACTGGGTCCGAATCCCACAGTGAACATCGACTCTGAGATGGAGGTACATCCAGCCGACGAGTCCCAAATACGACGAAACACGCGTCCTGGATTCCACTGCTAGCCACTATCCATCCAGTTTTCAATGAAGTTCCATTCCATAATAAAAATACGATTTAACCAGTAAGCTATCAATTCAATAATTTTGAACAATATGAATTGTATACATAATTTGTCTCTGTCCAATTTATAATTTACATCGTGAAATCAGTTTAGCTAGAGAGTAGTGAATAGTTGTATCGTCACTTCATCAATCCGTCAAGGATTGATTTTATGACTTTTAGACCTTTCAGGAAATACATTAACTAGAAGTTACCGATATGGAATCTCGTAGGAAATTTTTTCCACACTGACCAATTCATGATATTACGCAACTATTTAAACAAATTAATATTTGTGGTTTACAATATCTGTGAATGTTTTTTATAATACAGGTAAGTACAAGCTACAACTCTGTACTGTTAAAACTATGAAATTGAGTTACGGAAAACGTTTTCCTGAATAAAATGACTTACATCTGGAGGTAAGTGCATCAAAGGATTATCTGCCAATACTAAAGTTGTTGGAGGTGGTAAAAAGTCACTGAGTTGAGCTTTAACTTCCTCTTCTCCTTCAATTTGTTCATTGGTTAAATCGGAATGCTCATCCTCTTCACCATCATCGTCGTCATCCCCATTGAACTGTTCTGTGTTTCCTGTACTTTCTCTCTCTTCTTCATCATCGTTTAATTCTATGAGATTTCTTGTTGTTGTATATTCATTGAAATCTTGATCTCCTTCATCTTTAATTTCTGTCACATAATGATCAACTACTACTGGACTTTTCATTAGTAACTTGTCAGAATTACATAATAATGATGAAGTTGATTTACATAGATCACAATTTATAATACTATTATTTTGACAAATTTCACTATGATCGCATAATGATTCATCAAATAAATATGCTAATTTTGAATTTTCTGTTGAAGTATTTCCTTGCTTTGTGGAATGTTCTGTGAATGATGATGATGAATTATTTGGTTGTCTCTCATGATGATCAAGATCTGATTCTATAGAGGAATCAGATTTCAATGATGGTGATGACGAAGAAGATGAAGAACTTTCATTTCCAGACATTATTCCACCCTGATCATTTATAGTTACTAAATTATGCGTAAAACAAATAAATAAACGAGAATAATAATAAAGTAGAGTTCCCGGTAAACGACATTGTCAGTAGTAAACAATGTATAACACGGAACATATGTACATCGGTTCAAGTTGCTACACAATTTCAAGACTAAGGTCAGAATAGTCGAAGTATTAACAATATCAATGATGATAGAAAAGATTAAGGACGGACGATATATATTTGTGAAGAAATAATGAATTCATGAAATTAAACTTATAAGACAAGTTTAAAAATCAAGATTTAATGAGAAGACATAATGAATACGTCTGTATCATTGCTAACGATTCTGAACCGTGTCATTGAGTTATCAATAATGAATAGAATTATTGAGTATTTTTCACTATATCAAAGTCTTGATAGTTTAATTTTACATCATCCTTTACATGTTAGATATGATAAAGATCCAATGTGGAGGTTCACAATAGTCAGTTGAATTCTACTCTACTATGACTCATGAAATCTGTAACAATCGATGGAGACTAGAACCAGTTATGTTTAAAAAGAGTCAGTAGTTAACTTTCAACTATTTTGATAACAAAATAGAAATTATGTGAAGAACTTAATATTTAAAAAAACTATAGTTTTAATTAGTCATAAAAAATCTACTAATTTAAACTCCCATACTCAATTTATTTACTAAATTTTGATAGTTGAGATCATGAGTCAATTGAAGGCAGATCACTATGGAAAACCTGGAAGCACTGGACGACCGTTTCGTCCTCGTACGGCATTCCTCGGCAGTGCATATCCACAATTCCGAATCGCGAGATTCGAACCTAGGAATGGGGTTAAACCGGTTCTGTTGTGAGATAGTAACTAATTGAAGACAATGGTGGATGTGTCGCTCAATTTCGTGGATTAGTTGAAGTTAAACATTAACACTGTTGGACGCCGATCGGCTTAGTGGTCTAGAGGTTAAGCGTTCACGCGCGAAACCCATAGGCCTTGAGTTCGAATCCCGCTTGCAGGATCGTGGATGTGCACTGCTAGGGAGCCCCATACGAGGACGAAACGACCGTCCAGTTCATCCAGGTTTTTCATGGTGGTTTAGGTTCAATTAACTAATGATCATAACTATTAAAATTACTATAATATCCACAAAACCCCCTTCTGATATTAACTAAATAATTTACGCTTCCCTAATGAAAATACATAAATTGTGTCAGAAAATGTTAATATTCTGAAATAATTAAATATAAATGAGGAATAAACCAATAAGTAGGTACAGTGAGTTTATTTCATTTTTTAAATAGTGTAATTTTTTATTATTTTGGATTGATATTATAAATGGATTAATGTTAGGTCACCATTGAAAACTTGGAAGTACTGGACGATCATTTCATCCTAGTATGGGACTCCTCAGCAGACAGCCCGTTTGCCACCCTCAAGGTCAAATAGTAGGTCGGAAATTGAAGACAAGGCAGGGAAAGATGATTGTGCAAAGCTCACGTTATCAATCATTTTGCCAATTAAATCTTCCTACTCATATTGGTTCTCTCATTCGCCGAGTGGGTCTAGGTCAGTCCTAGAAAGTGTATACCATAAATGAATTGGACTGTAAAACATAACAAGATGTTAGCTAACTTCAAAATGCATAGTCTTCATAAGGTTGCATACTAATAAACATTTATCTATGTACATAGCACATATAATTAATTTCTTACCATTATCAATTAATGAAATATTCTTCACTTTTGCGTTTTCATGATGAGATAAATCTCGACGGTGTCGTTTATGATGTCTCTTAGTTTTTGATTTCTTTCTCAATTTACGTTTTCGATCGTTTTCTCGTTCTGTACGAATAGAATCTAAAGCGGATCGGACTACACTTGGATCTAGACGAGGTATTTTCTGTTCACTAAATATATGATATCAGAAGAAAAAAAGAACAATGGTTGTTAGAAAAATTATACTTCATTTGAACAAAATAACTTACATAGTTCTGTCCATCTAATGACTTATTTTTCTAAAAAGCGACAAACTATAAGTATCTTATTATGTGCTAATATATTAATTTTCTTTGAATTAGTCGAATGAATAATGAAAACATGAACCAACTACTTACTACTTAGGTTAAGTCAGTAACAAATCCAGCTAGGATGAAAAAAGTTCCAACTTATTCCATCAGTAGTAAAGACAAGATAAATAAATATCAAGAGCCGATTATGTGGTCTTAATGATTCATTAGTTTAGTGATAAACGATGGATACTAAACGCAAGTTTCAATGTAAACATTAACACTAAGATGTATATGTACGTCTAATCGAAGTGGTAAATAGAATGAAACATGCATTTCGAACTTCAGTGCTAAACACTATCATCGACTCTGTCAATTTAGGGACTATCAAATCGGATCTTGTATTATTTTACTACAGTTTTATTGTTGAGGTTGGCATTATTTTCAGTGACGAATTTTAGTGTGTACCTGTTATTTATTTCTCACATTACTTTGTTACTGAAATGTCATGTTATCCAAACTAATTGTTATACATTTTAATGAATTAAATAACATGAGTCTTGTACCATAACTCTACCTGTACCTCTTCTAGGGCTACTGCCGGTCCCAAGCATGCAAGAAAAAGGAGGATTGGGCATGGGGTCACCAACCCCATCGCGTAAAAAAAGAACTTGCTAAATAAACGCTAGTTAGAAAAAAATTAATTAAACAATTCAGATTTTGGACTCCGAGTTGAAGGAAAAATTATGACGACTCATGATGAAAACCTAGATCCTTCGGAAGTCACGAGGCCGATGCCCCTTCCAACAACAACAGCAAAAACGTTCTAATTACATGGAACGTTCATACAATATATAAGACCGAGAGAACCAATCAAATAACTGCCTAAATAGGGATATACAACTTGACGGTGCTCGGAATCAGTGGAACCCATTGTACCCAAGCTGAACAGTAAAATCTACATATGGGAGAAATGCTGCTGTAATCCGGTCACGAAGAAGAAAATGCTCCACACACTCAAGGAGTTGTAATCATGCTGTCCAGAGAAGCACGTAATGCACGTATAGGATGGGTCTCATGGATCAAAAGTCGTCAGAGCATCCTTCAAAATAAAGAGCGAGAGCATCACAATGAATGTTATCCAATGTTATGCACCCACCAATAACAGCAACAACGATAATAAAGATCAGTTCTATGACAGGCTGCAATCGGTCATACCGAGGTGTCCAGGAATGGACCTGATCATCCTGATGAAAGACCTAAACGCGAAAGTCGGAATGGACAACCTCGGAAATGAAGATACCATGAAACGATATGGACTAGGAGAAAGGAACGATAATAGTGATAGATTTGCAAGTTTATAAGCCTTCGACAAAATGGTTATAGGCGACTCAATATTCCCACACAAACACAGAGATGAAGGTACATGTGTATCACCGGATCACACTACACAGAACCAGATCGATCATATCTGCATCATTAAAAAATTCAGGAGGTCAATGGAAGACGTGAGAAGCAAGAATGGAGTTTACATGACTTCGGATCACCACCAACTGTTGGTTTTCATGATGAAACTGAAGCTAAAGAAGTACTAGACAAATGGAGAAACAGCATTACAAAGGTTTAATACAACCTTTCTTCCGGATACTGACAAACTCAACGAATTCAAGATAAATCAACGACAGGTTCCAAGCCTTAAAGGATCTACTGAAAGAATAAACTACTATAGAAGAAGACTGAAAAGGGATCAAATAAGCCTTAACTTCAACGTGTTAGAGGGTTCTGGGCCGCAACAAACATCATCATAAGGAATGGATCTCTATGGAAATCCTGGACAAGACTCAAAAGGAAGAACAGGAATCAACAACAGCCGAACAAGAACAGAGAAAGTCAAGGCAAAAGATGAATACACAGGTGCAAACAAGCAAGTGACGAACATGAGAACTGACAAGCACAAATACGTGGAAGAGAGCTTCAAGAGAAGGAAATATGAGACAATTATGTGACACAATGAAGAAACTGGAAAGTGAATATAGTAAACCAGAGAGACTGGTCAAAGATAGAGAAGGCAAGTCAATCACCGAGATTCAAGAACAGGGGAATACATGGGTAGAATATTTTGAGGAACTCTTGAATAGACCAGCTCCACTGAAAGCATTCGACAGTGTGGATAGAAGGACTTTATGGTGGTCGACTGGATTATGAAAACCTCCACATCTGACGGGAAGCACAGAATACAATGTACAGCTCGGAATCAACTAGATGACCTAGCCCTCCTATCCCATACACATCCACAAATTCAGGTCAAGAAAGACAGTGCAGCAGCAGCAGCCTCTGCATCAGTAGCTCTCAACATACACAAGGGAAAAATGAAGATCTTCAAATGTAACACATAGAACACCTACCCAATCATACTTGATGGGGAAACCGTGGAACAGGTGGAAATTTCCACATACCTGGACAGCATCATAGATGAACAAGGAAATCTGATGCAGACGTAAAGGAGAGAATTGGCAAGGCTGGGAAAGCATTGGAATTCAAAACAACTATTAACTAATATCAAAGTCAGAATCTTCAATACGAACGTCGAGACACTCAGTCATACTGTAAGGAGCTGAAAATTGGAGAACTATTACGGCAATCATCAAACAAGTACAAGTATTCATAAACACTTGTCTATGCAAGATACTCAATGTCCTCCGTTGGACGGATACCATCAGCAACAACCTAATGTGGGAGAGAACAAACCAGATTCCTGATGAGGAGGGAGTTAGGAAAAGACTCTCGAAGTGGATAGGGTATATATTACGAAATCACTAAACTGCATCACGAAGCAAGCGCTTACTACCTGAAATCGTGAAGGGGAACGGAAAAGAGGAAGACCGAAGAACACACTGCGTCGAGAATTGGAAGCAGACATGCAAAGAATCGATAGAAACTGGAAAGGATTGTCAATGACAGAGTTGAATGGAGAATGCCGGTGAGCGGCCTATCTATTCCATGAGGGGTAACATGCGTAAGTAAGTAAGTCTTGTACCATATACACACGAGTGATCATTACTGAAATATTACCAAACTAGAGAAAAATAGTCGTTGAATGCATTCAGTGTTGATGTAACTTATAAGGCACAAATCTATATAATTGGTTTCGAGCCACACTCTAAATATGAAGTCTAGCGATGTTAACGGTTTATCCAAACCGAAGTAGATTAAAAGTAGTTCAAACCTGAGACTTAATAGCTGAAAGTTTGACAATTTAATCACAGAGCTACCAAACCATTCAAGTTCTCAATGAGTTTTCAGCTGAAATCGATCTGCGTTGCAAACTATATTAAGTTTAAATTTAATTAATTAGTAAACTGTTCATAGCGAATTATTATCTAACAACTGATACTTAACTTTTTTCTCGTCTATGTATATATAGTTTGATCACAATGTTGTATATATCGCCTACTGAAGAATCCAGTAAACATCATATGAAGATGATCTATATATGACAAGATAGATAAAGATCAAGTTCCATAACTTACATGATTCACTATATTAACCTACTATTTAAATATATGTGTGTAGATCCAATACAACATACCACCACCTATAATAAAGTCGCTACTATTTATTCATAAAAGTATGTTAAAATTAACGAAATAGAAAATTTACGTGTTTTACGTGAAATACATATTGAAAACCCACATGTCATCACTCATATCAGAAGACGGTTCTAATTCCATAGATAATCGATGATGTTTATGTGAATGCTTATGATAATGTTTATCTTGAAGATGAGTATGATGTTGAGAATGACGATGGTGGTGATGACGACTATGACCGTGGCGATGATGACGTGGACGATTATCATTATGCGTAGAATGATGATGAAGTCCATCAGAAGGATTAATATGGGAATGATGATGATGATAATAGTGTCGTCGCATACGTTTTGCATATCGTATTGTACCTGGAATCGGTTCAATATCCGGATCAAAATCACTTGGATGAAAATCACGATCTAATGGATACTTTGATTCACATACATGATCCCAATGATAATGACAAGACCATAACCATTGCGGTGAAACAAGATGAAGTGAATGTGAAGATGGATTATTGTTTACTTGAAGATTATTACTATCTATTGTAAGATATTTTAATGCAGCATGTACTTTTTCTGTTCCTCTACGACAAGCAATTAAATGTGTTGTATAGTGAGTAGAAACACTGTGCACAATACCATGTGATCTAAAGAAAATTTTATTAAATACAAGTAAGGCTTACAAATATTTGCAAGGAATAACACGTTTCCTTTAAAAAGGTAATATATTAACTAATCAATCTTTCTTTTATATATTATTACCATTGAAGTAACTACTTCCATGAATTCGATGTTCATCTTGTTGTGCTAATGAGGTGTGGCAACTTGGACCGATGCATGTATGTGCCTGGTCCTAAGTTGTAGCTGACTGACTGACATTAACTAATACTAATTAACTGAATATCTGGTTGAAACACCAAGTATTTATGGGTGGTGAGTTATATTGATACTTTAAAAAGAAAACAATAACATCAAAATATTAGTAACTATGTACTTTTGTTTTATTAGTAAGACTTCTAGCGGTTACTTCGTTCGGTTATTGATTGTCAACCTATAGACTAATGGTATAATATTGAAACGCATGTAAGACTTATTCAAGACATTTCAAAAAAATGAAAAGATAAAAAAAATTTACCAAATTGAACATGGAAATTATTGTGATTTATTTAATGTGGATAAAATGTAGCACATTTGAACGCTAAAAAGAATATGGGCCAAACATCGTAAAGAGATAATTTCAAAGAGAAATAAAGGAGGGGATTATCTTCACTGTCCCTGAACACACATTGTCAAACCTCATGGTGTTGCTACCGGACTTCAATAATATCCCAGGGACGGCGGTAGTTGGGCACGGAGCGTCGGTAAATGTAATGTCAGTTGGCGAAAAAGAAGAATAAGAGCGAATAAGGAACAAAAGTAGAATTATCATCACTGGCTCAGGTTCTACTTTTTTAAGTAGTCAAAGTGTGAAGGAGCACTGTGATATGATAAAGATTTTTTGAGTCATGTTACCTGTTCAAAACAAGATTCATTTAGCAGTGGTTAAACTGGTGTTACTAAAGTTGTGTATGTATTCAGACATTATCGATGTGATTGGAAATTATTTTTGAATAGACCATATCAGTTCGAAGAAGTTTGTAATGGTGAATTAATGAGGTGTTACAATTATTAATTTGTAAAGTATCGAAATTACGTGAAGGAATACATTATTCTCTTTTTACCTCTTATTCAATTATCAGGATTCTATTCACGTAGAGAAATCGGAAATGAAGTATGGTAAATGGAACCGAATAAACATTGATTTCAGATCTTATGTTGCTGATAACTGATCCACTAGAGGAGGTCCATTCTACACCTATTTGTGAATTTCTTGAACAACAGTTTTGAAATGTGATACTAATTTGTTTTGCAACATAAGTGATTGAAACAATTTAGATATCAAGAGATTTGTAACAGAGAATGAAATGACGGTTCCCTTATAGTTGTCTACAATGGAAAATCTGAGATGTGTAAGACCCAGTGCAGTAGTTTAGTTGTTGAGACATCAAGTTCCTCATAAGCTCATAGGTTCAAGCCGTGCTTCGGTTTCATCAGCCAATATGACTTATTTTGAGCCATTTTACTTAAAATCTGCTTCAATACCGATCATAAGCATTACAAGAATCTGATAGTTAAGAAACTAACGAATTCACACATGTCATATACTACAAACGATCACGAACTTCTTTTGACGATCCCTTAGCTTTATCTGTAAAGATCACTTCAGTGAATGACGATTTATGTATATTCCGCATATTTTTTAGCTGATCACATCATTAAACAGGTGACCTTCATTATGACGTCATCCAGACAAACCTTTTCGCTATACATTCAATCAAATTTGTTTTGCGAAGAATAACTACCCTTAAGGCTTTTCAAAGAACATGTATACAGTACATAAGAAGTCTGATATACATACTGCTCGAAGGAAACCCCTCTTATTAAAATCAACGGGGATATAGATAGCAATATTTTGAATAGTCTTCGTACACTATTACTACTTGCTAACAAATTTATTATATGATTACGAGACACACATTTACGTCATTCCGAAAGAAGCCGCGTGAAGTTGTCATAACACACATAAACATCCAATCAATTGCTTGTATTTATAAATAATAAATTTGAAAACAGCTTCTGATATAGACTGAATTCAATCACAGATTCATTTGAAACCAAGGTGTACTAAAAAGCGGTTTCATTCTATTTTAGAACGTCTCAAAAATAGCTTCATGAAGTTATAATCAAGAACCCTGACCTATGGAGTACAATCACTACAAGATTAAGGCTATTATAATGATACTCAATAAATTGAAGGTGTGAACCATTGAATTCCAACATAGTCGTTCAATGGCTCGTGAACATCTCAAGGCTTGAAGGTTCTAGAGGTTCAATCCTAGATGGGGTTGTGGATTTGCATTACGGACGAGTTCTTTGCTAAGAGGAAACCGCTGACCAATCCACTATGGCCATCTAGTTGATATTATTCAACGATGAAATCCTAGCTTCATACTGAACAGTCTCAAAAAGCCTACTAACTTAACTATGAATTTGACACGATTTTAGTGTACGGAACTAAACATGTTTACATCAAATGAGTATAGTTTATAGAAACTATAGGTCAAGATAATTTAAAATTTCAACATTAGTTGTATCAGTCAGAATTTATGAACGGCTGCTTCAAGTGTCATCATCAGCAAAACAAAGCGGTAGAGAACCCATCAACACCTTGGTCAGAACCAGGGAAATCATACGCACGACTACATATCGACTTTTCCACCCCAATAAAGTGTAACATATTTTGTAATGGTTAATGACTACTGAAAATAGCCAGAAATTATCCGTATGCACCGACAAAATCTTTCTAGTGTTGACAGAGGTTTACTGCTGTAACGGATTTTCAGACACTATAATATTACAACACACCTGGTTGAACTCCACTGATAACGGCTTCTCACTACAACTCCAGGAGTATCTCTTGAAGTCAGTCACTAGTGAGCAGATGATTATTATTAGAAGGGGTTTGTGGAGGTTTTAGGAATTTCACAGATTGAAATCTCCACAAACGCCTTCTGACTATAATATTAAACAACGGGTCATGGTTCACATTATATATATATTTATATATATATAAACTCAGAATTACAGCAGAATGAATGGTATGCAAGCTATGTGTACAAATGGTGTACAAGCCATAGGTTTTGTTACATTCGACACTTATTTAATGCTTTATCAGTACACTTTTTCCATTCAACACAGAATAGAACCGAGTAATACAATACAAATGTAATCATATACAATAAATATCAACAAAGAAGAGTCAACTAAAAACTTATAGAGATCATTCATCAATTCTGTAGATAATCCATGTACACATTTTTCAACAGTTGAAAGATTTTAAAGTGACACACCAGCAAACTGTGTTTCGAGGTCATTCTAATGTAAACAGTCATGGACCCCTCCAGGTGATGATATCTAATTCTACCTACATTAGAATCAGACGCAACATTGCATTACCTGAAATTTTATCTAGATTTGAACGAACACTGATAAAAGTTTGTAGGTGAGTATATAGAACACATTAAAGATGAAATTTATGCGTTAATAGGGACATAACCATTTATTTGCTGATCACGGTTGTGAATTTACCAATCCAATGATAAACTGATAACTGTCTCTTTATAAACACAAACCCAGTTTAAAAGTTTTTAGTGGATACTGCTTTAGCGAAACAAATAGAAGCTGAGTTATTTTGTCTGTTGATAATTTTGAAGAATTTTCAAACGTCAATAATGTGCCAACTATTCATTAGATGCCGACCTATTGCACTTACCAATCTCGAATTCTTTGGCATGTGCTCTGAAATAAGAACATGTACTATGTTCGCTATTTTTCTAATGTATGCCCCTTGGGACATACATGTTAATTGACAGATGTAGTTGGAGGTACTGAGAAAAGAGCACCCGTTGATTTTTATTTGTATTAAAAAGGAAGTTCGTTTCGCACAATGTGATTGGACCTGGTGATGGACAAGTATTCTTCATTGCAGCATTTACTCTGTGAATAATTTTACCAATAGTTTCGTTTACTTTGAATTAAAGATACAGGTAGCAGGCTATCTTTTCAATTGTATCGTAATTAATGCATTTTTTAAAATTTTAGCATGCTTCTCAATGAATTTCAGTGGGTATGCATTGTGACGTGGACAGGTTTTGGTGGAAGTAAGTTCTTCTCTCAAGCTTTTCTAAGAGCTGAGTTCACGAGCATGTCTAAAAGGGGTTTCTACAATTCCATTTTTATAGCTTATTGGACAGAGGCTGTTGTAGTTCAGATAAGTTACACTCTATGTGTTTTTGCGACAGATGTGTCTTTTTGGTTTACCATTTGGAGTTTGTTCCAACATCTAGGAAAAACTGATGATCTCTAGTAAATTCTATATCGTTGTATACTTTGCTGAATAGATTGAGGAGATATGTGGAATGCTTCTGATTGTAGCAGACAAGAAATGTATCATCAATATATCTGCAGTAGAATGTAGTTTCATCAATTATATTTTAGCTTCGTCTGTTCTAGACATAATAACACAACTTTTTATTTCCCTGAAGTAGTAGCCAATAGAAAATTTAAACTGCATTTCACCGGTTAAAATCACTGATTAATACATTAAATTTACATATTCCGAAAACGTATTAAGGACAAAAATTAAAAAGACTTTAACAAGATCAGAATTGTTGACGAGAATCTTGTAGTTTGGTTTAAGAAAGTGAAGTTTTGATAAAGATATCTTTCTATCATCATTCAATGCATTTCAATCAGAAAGTAATGCAATAGAGAACCTTACACAAGTTCAAGTAACAAACATACCAATCATCCAAAAACTTATAAACATAGAGAATACGATTTGAAATAAATGAATGAAATCACTGACAAGTTATATTTAAATTCACGATAAATAGTAAGATGTAGAACGTGTATATTTGTATTACTGTCAGTGATTTTAGCCCATATCATCTAATTCTTCACCTATTGTCTGCGATTATTGCGCAAACCTCAAACAAAGAAGTCTTTCTCTTCACAAGGGCCAGATCAACACACAACGATTTCATGAACTAAAGCCATATTTTGGTTTGACTACCTCTCACTGCTTATATACAATTCAGAGCGGTGCCATAAATAGGAAACGTCCAGGCATACGCAACACAGGTTCCAAATATGAGTCATAGTTTCAAGTGTCAGGTCAAAAGATCAAATAATCTAAAATTTATGAACTAGGATTCAAACTTGTTACTCACTGGTATTAAGTCATATACTTTTACCACCAAAACACAACCCAAAACTAGTCAGTAGTATATTGCTCACTGGCTGCAAACACTTTTTTCTAAAATGAATAATGATATTAAATAATCCAAATCTGGAAAAAATGTTTTATTGAAAAAGTTTCAGTAACCGAAAAAGAGAACTCACTCGGATTTTAGCTCCAACTTGTTAACTGGCATAGATGTTGTATTATCACCATTCTTATCATCATTACCATTTGACTGATTGCATATTGACGGTAGTCTTAAGCTTGCATGCAATATACCACCTAAACTGCGTACAATTCGACCAGCTAAGCACCGATCAGCAGGAAAATGTGCAGGTGATAACCCAGACAATGTGATATGACAGTTAGGACCAAGTACAGTTTTTCTTAATTTGGCTATAATATCAGAAACGTGCGGTAAATATGTGGGTATAACATCTGTATTTCCAGTCGCATTTGTTAGGCAGACATTTTTACGTGAATTATTCACAATGGACGAGTTTATTGAATGGTCACTAGTTAAATATTGAGGTGGATAGAAGAAAGAACAACAAATAAATAAGTAAATAAATACAGAATACTGTACATGATAGACCGTAAACTATCAGTTAGATCCAATCGGAACTGCAACACGGCTTGATTTTCGATCCCAACCGAGATCTCTACATATTTTGTCGGATATATATGAAAAATGAGCTCTAGTTTATGAAGAAAAAGGAGTAGTTAAGAAAACACCTCTTTGTACATGGATCAAACGTTACTAGTAACGATACGTAAGAATTTGAAGACAATCCAATGTCAGAACGACTATCAATCTCTTATGTTAATGAAAACATTGGACCGATGAAATCTACTGTTATATTTGATTGTACGAATATTATCTGAACGATTGTTGACGAACGTCAATTTAAAAAAAAAACCATCCGTATACAGACTGCTCTGACAAAATATTTGGAGCTGAGAAAACTATGACATTTTTTAAGTTGGATTTGTAAGAATACCTCAAGATTTCAACGAAACTTGTTTTTCTTTCTTTGTTATCTTACTTATCAGGGATTGAGGTAGCTATTAGGGGAATAACTTGAATACTTTTGGTGTTGTTACAATATGTTATTGTGTTTGGCATACTGGAATAACTTTAAAAAAGTAATTCACCTTCACCGCAATCTACAGTTAGCATTTTCAACAAACAAACGAACAACAGTAATACCTGCCCCTTAATCATAAAAACAATGATGTCTTTGCAACATCAAGAATGAATAGAAATGGCTTTTGCTTAATCAAAAAAAGTCAAAAATTGAAATGTTCAATTCATTGGAATATTTAAAAAATGTATCATTATCTTTTATTATTTTAACAATCCATCAAAAGCTCGATTTGTTTGAAATCTATCAAGTTTAACCATGATAATGTTACCACCTGCTAATACCTACCTGTGTTTATTCTCTGGTGATTTTGTCATCAATGTTGTTTTATGACGATTATAATGACCAGTTTGCCATAGATCATAAGTTTTAAAATAATTTCGATGAATTCTCAATAGAATCTCTTGTAAACGTAATAAATAATCATCATCTGCAGCGTCTATTTCTATTTCTATCTCTTTTATTTTCGATAATGAATCATGATCATTATTATTATTAATATCATTCTTGTCATGATCATCATCAACAACAACGGTAGTTGTAGTGGAATTATCGTCTATATGGTCTCCAATATTATCAGTTGATTTGGATAAGTTTAGTGTGACATTTGCACTAGTTGATTGAGTTTGACAAAATTCAATATTATTATTATCAGTAGTAGTAATAGAAGCATCATCATTAGTCCTAGGTTCATAGAATCAAGATAGAAAAAAAGTATATATATATATATATATATATATATATATATATATATATATATATATATATATATATATATCAGGAGTTCGGTTCGTCAGTCAATCAGCCATAAGCAAGGGTTTCAGTCCTTGAGACCAACAACGGAAAAGTACCAACTTTTACATATAAAATCCATACGTGTTGCAAAAGTTAGCGACTATTAGGACACAGCAGCTTAGGGAATAATGCACTAGTGCTTGAAGCGAAAGAAACTAGGGTTTTCATCTTGGTGTGGATATTAACACTGAAGTGCAGTTACAGCCAGCTAACAAGTCCTGAATAGGATGAATCTTATGTCATAAGCAATGTAGAATTGATCTAAGTACCCGCAATATATCAGGACAGTAAGATGAATACCAAAGTAATAGAAGTAGTGACATCAGTGCTAGACAGAAAGATTTATGAATAAAACTACGATTCGAGCAGACAGAATGACTACATTTCTAATAGAACCCTCATTATTAATGTGTTAGTATTATTATGAATTTGTTATTGTAATCAAAGAACATGAATAAAGAGGATAATATACGAATCACTGTAGAAGTGATAGTACTTCTTGAATCTCTTAGTAATTAGATTTGTGATAAGGTTATAAGCATTATATGAGAGCACAGGTAAATACATTCGGTTATTATTTACAAAATTAGTCAAATAAAATACCTAAAAAAATTGAAATTAATGACAATGAATGTTGTCAGTCATATTGATTGTGATTGTCTTATAAACTAAAAAAAAGTGTCAGGCCTAAAACTCACCAAATTATAAACCATGTAGCACATGTCCTAAAGACTAAGCTATGATAGAATACAAAAACCCAATTTGTTGTACATTTTTAACAATTTTAACATTTAACTCAATTTATATCCGACAATCAGTGAGATATGGATATTAATCAGTCATTCAGTCAGCTGCAACGTAGGACCAGGCACATATATGCATCGGTCCAAGTTGCCATACCTCATAATTAATAATAATAATTAATAATAATAATAATAATAATAATAATAATAATAATAATAATAATAATAATAATCTTACTTATCCAGTGTACAGAGAACCGGCTTTTCATTATTGCTGATAGCAGTTGTAGTATTATCCTTGTTATTTGACTTTGCTTCCACATCGTGTGATAAAATATTCTCATTAACTTCACTAACCTGTGAATTCATATTTTGATCAGATTTATCGATCAATTGAACATTTGAACAATTTGATAACGCTGAGGAGGAGGATTCTGTGACCTTTGTTGAAGTCGATGTACAACTATCAGAAGATGACGAAGTATGGATTGAAGATGATGATGGTTGTGATGACCATGGAAAGGCATTAATATCTCCAATATCTGGAAAAAAGCTGATAAGAAAGAATGAAAATAAAATATTTCAGAGGTGGTTTTCTTTGAACTATAATAACAAAACCTCTTCTGATAATAATCATCTGCTCACTAGTGACTGACTTCAAGAGGCATTTCCTAGTGTTCTAGTGAGAAGCCGTTACCAGTCGAGTTCAACCAGGTCGATTGTGAGATATCAGCTCACTAAAGACAATGCTGTACGGTGGCGTAATTTTGTGGATTAGTTGAAGTTAGGCATTAACACCGTCGGATGCCGGCTCAGTGGTCTAGTGGTTAAGCGCTCGCGCGTGAAAATGATAGGTCTTGGGTTCGAATCTCGCAGGGGGCGGGATGGTGGATGCGCACTACGGAGGAGTCCCATATTAGGAAAAAGGGTTCGTCCAGTGCTTCCAGGTTTTCCACGGTGGTCTAGCTTCAATTCACTCATGATTTCAACTATTGAAATTACTAAAATCTCCACAAAACCCTTTCTGATAAAACTGAATATGTTAATTATTTAGCAATAACCAACGTGGAGTCTGTTAATAAAAATGTGTGTTAGTCCAAGTTGTCAATATTATAGTTAGCACAATAAGGTGAATAGTAAAAGTTGAAAGAATAATAGTGAGAAAAATTAAACGAGAGTATATTTTGAAAGAGACTGAACAAAAAGATATGTATGAAGGAATACAGGAACTCAAGATTTGGATCTAGAGAAAGAGCGACTGTATCTGTGCACCAATGTGACTGGTTCTGGACCATGTCATCCAATATATGTGTACACTCAAATTCACAAGCGAAGCTACAATAATCAAATCCACTGGGAAGATACATTCAAGTGTGCACCTTAATAACTACAAGTCAAGGGAACAAAACTAGTGAGTTAGTAGCACTACAAAATTGAATAAGATTCGACTGAATAAGTGCTTATTGATGTTTTGAGCTTCTGGGAGAATAGGTATTTCAAGAGTAAATCGAAAAGTTTAAAATGAAGCACGTTAGCTACTACACTGCCACCACTAATCATCTACCACACATAAAATCCTATTCATCTATCCCACTTTTCCTATAAAAAGTTATGAACTTTACTTTCATTGATGAGGACTGACTATTCGACCTTAAAATGCATATTGCAATTTCAAGCAATTGGATTGATACTGTAATCATCAAACGGTCAACAATTATTAAGGAAAAATTTATCACAAACCTTTTACATTAAGCATTTATCAAAATGAAAATATGTAGAGAAACTGATATGAGATTAACAGATTATTGTCAATGGAGTTAAATTCATCAGAAAATTTAAGTCAATCTGTAAACACTGACAGAGGTTTCGTTTAAAAAAATCAGCTGAAATCTGATAAACAAAACAAAAGTGAGGACAAATCCCGGACTAATAGTACTGATCGATACTTGACCTACATTTCTACCTAAATTAGAAACGATAAAATATAATTACAACAGAGAAGTAGATTGGCACTTCGAAGGAAATATACATAGTTTTAGGGACTGGAAATTCTGAGATCGATGATTTATACAGTTTAGGTGGAATTGTGTCACAAAGTAAGCCCTAACTTGCAATCCTGAAGAGAAACTGAAAAGAGGAAGGCCGGAGAACACACTGCTTAGGGAATTGGAAGCAGATATGGAAAGGATGAATAGCAACTGAAAAGAATTGGAAAGGAGTGCCCAGGATAGGGTTGGATGGAGAGTGCTGGTGGGCGACTTATGCTTCTCCATGAGGGGTAACAGGCGTAAGTAAGTAAGTAAGCGTTCTTCCAGCTGGATAGTTTCAAAGTCAGGTTCTCACTGTCTTACATACAACGTCATTAACACAAACTTCAGATAGGAGTGAGCTACATGAATTTCCCCACAAATGACTAACAGTTAGTTTTGTCAATACCAAGTGTGATTACTTGTTGTCAACACTTTTAAAGTCCTCTATAACCTTACAATCATTACTCATCCTTTTTCGGATGTTTGAAATCTGGGATTATTTTACGGCATGATCTCTTTCTATTCTTCTGTAGACATAAATTTATCAAACAACTATAAATATGAACGTACGGCTGACATCGTATACCAATACATTCTAATTTTCTTCTACCTTGATCCAATTCTTGGCCTTATGGTTGTTTAAGAGTTTTTAAAAACTTATTGACAAATTGAAAATACTTCAATATATCTACTGACTGACCTGAGATCCAAACATTAAAAGCTTTACTAGCCTTATAACTAAATCCACCTCATGAGCTATACGTCTTTTCCGCCACGTATGAGGTTAAAAGTTTCTATGTCTGAGGTATCATTAACAAAAACGTAATATACCTTTTTTAGTATTTTCCCATTCTAAAAAAATCTTCATTTTGATGTTAATCTGTGATGTGAACCTTATGTTCAAAAACTCCTTAAGCGTCAACTAGATCATCTGAAGGAAGTCAATACGTTGTAATTAATGTTTTAGACATATTTTATTGTTATCTATAAATTGGTTGATATTTAAAGACAGTTCTGATAATCTTTGTCTTCTTATTACACTATCCAAGAAATAAAAATAATGATTTTAAACAATTATTTAAACTTAAAGCGGTAAGACTATAATTTATGGAGGACCTTTGAGCCACGCTAAAGTGACCTTGAGAGTGTTTACCTACTTACTAGAACTAAATAAGCATTATAAAGCAGTTTGAAGAATAAGGATTATGATTTACAGTTTATGGTTACGGTTGGGAATTAGATTTAAAGTTTTCATCACGAACCCACATCAGCTATAATACCAAGATCCTATATGGCCAAATGGGTGAATGAATTTTGTGCCGAAATCCAAGATCTGTTATTGTAAATCTGATTGGTTCGTCCATAAATTATAGTCTCGCCCTTAAAACTACCAAGGCAGAGGTATCAACAGTGTAATTTTTAAGAAAACCCATTTAACATCTACACGACTAGAATATGATATAAACAGTTAGTGATACAATAGAGTTCATAATAAATATATTTTTATGATATCCTAATGATTAAAAGTTTGTATTTCTGACGTTTTGTAACTTAGTGTGAGTCACTTCTTTAGAGAAAATAAATTAATCGAAATAGAATACAAGTTTAAATAGAACAGAGGAAACAGGAGAATATTTTTAGTACAATCAAGATCATAATAAGTCTGAACATGTCAATGTCATGCTATTTTTTGGTCAAAGTGATTCTGTCATAGAAATCATTGTGTTTATTGGTGTGTATCATAATCAACTTGAAACTATCAAATCCAACCTTGATATTGATACTTACAAACTGATACAGTTGAGCTATAAAAACTTGGCGTTCTTGGACAACATGTTGACCTTGAACAGACGGCCGATATACACGCGTTTATGTGTATAATGCGTTTTAAGTACCTTTACAGGGCATATTTTGCTTAATTACATTTATTATGGACTAGTTTCTGTGAAAAACCAAACAACAAAATGCAAATTACTGGTCTATAAATCTGTTTATAACAACATTTGTCTTAAACAATTGGTTATTCTATTTCATATTCCTCCAAATGTCTGCCTGAACAAAATGAACATGGTGTATTTTTGAACGGTGGTGAACGCCGTTTTACTTATTATTGTCTTGCCATCGGATATCTTGTTCAGTTGTTTAGGGGCTTATGTTAATAGTATGGTCATACCATTACATATTATCGATTAACCAGTGGATTGCATCCACTGATTTAACAATCCCTAAATATCTTCATTTACAAGTTTGAAAACTTTAATCCACAACAGTGAAATATTGATAATTAAAAGATATCATGAACAGACCTTGTACTACACCAGAAAATTGCATCCATCAATGGAATTAGATTTTTGTTACTCGAAAAAATATCAACTTACCGATATGGTTTAACATGAATTAAATTGGAAGACCAATCCCATACTTCACCGCGATCATCAATAATACATACTAGGTTGAGGCCACGAGGAAATAATGCTCTTTAATTGTAAATAATAATGATGAAATAAGAAAAGTAGAATGGTTTAAATGACAATTTATCAAAAGAGAAAAAAATAATTTCGCTAGATGAATACAGAACTAAAGTACATATACTAACCTAATGAAACGAGTTCACGCTCATAATCAACTCAGATCATCCATCATCAGTGAATATCCTAATGAACTAATTTCAAGTTTTGGTTTGGCTATTCGTAGCTTCGTCAACTTAACCATACTTAAACTAGTGTTTTTTTTCATTTAGGAGCTAATTAGGATCAAGAAAACAATGTTCATGAATAATATTTATATTGAATTGTGTGAAAAGTACTGTATGATGCTCAAAATGTATAAAATGGGTATAATAAATTTCTTTTTGTCATCATCAAGTGGAAATGACAATGTAAAACACGAAAAAATGTTTAGCTATTGAATTTGGGATTCCAAATAACACATAAATCGATGAGTTTTTGTCCCAGTAGTCTTTGTTCATAGTAAAATACTGAGCAAATCACTTCATTAATCTTCTAGATAATAAAGGATGGTGGTGTAGTAGTGTTAAAGCAAATCACAACTTCTACACATGATTTTCCTATATCTCCTAAAACCTACAATGATCTTACAGGTTTCAGCACTTTTCTAATCAAATACACTTGATTCATACAAACTATTTCGATTGGTCGATACGTGGCCTGGGAATTACTAATTTATTCTTAATGTCGCTCAGGATCGGTCATATAGTATATATACCTCTCGGCTGCCTGCATTTTATTGAGTAGTATGTATCTAAGTGGCTCAAAGCTTTCTCCAAATGTGTATTTTGTAAAGAAAGGCCCAACGTTCATAAGGAATTCATGTTAGCAGATCTAAATATGTTCCCATGAGAATAATTATAACATGCTCTAATCTCCTAATTTGACATTTCATCCACTCATGTACGTTTCTGACACTAAATAACTTTGTATATAACTCCCAACAGTATAGTCACAAACTCTATTTTCTGTCCTTACAATTCATGGTCAACGAAATCATTAGTGTTTTTCACATGCTAACCCATCATAATCTTACGGAAAAATCTAAAATGCTGTTAGTTGAGTGAAGGCAGGAATCTTTTGTAACCAAGTTTCGTTATTAAGGCATATGTGCAGTCTTCAATGAATCGATATTTCCCGTTGACTTAGATCTTGTGTCATGTCGTGTCACAGTCAGATACGCCATTATTGCGCAAATTTAGTTGGTGACTAACTTTCAATAGTACTGAAGTATTTACACTTAATACAGACCACTGTAATATTGGTTTAGTGAATACAATGAAACTTAATCGATATTATGCAAATAATGCTGAGAAAAAGACAAGATATTGGCTACTGATAAGCGGTAAGTCGGTGATGTGATGTTTCAGTGGTTAAGGGATCTGACTTTCAATCATTAAGTCACGGGTTAAAACCTGGGAACCGTCCAATTCTCTCCGAGAAAAGAGACAGTAAAGTTGAATACATAAATCCATAACTAGTAAATGAATTATAACCTAAATCAGTGCATGGAATACTCGCTTTGGATAGGTCTAATCGTAATAATAAAGATAATAACCTTAAGTAGGATAGCCTTTTACCCAATCAACATGAAGAAGTTTAATCTTAACAAAGAGCCTAATTATACCATTTAAAAACGGTTAACTTAAAAAGTTCATAATCAAATAGTATTATTGTTACGCAAACTAACTTTAAATTTGCTGACTTTGTAACTGGATTAAAACATTCATCGCGTGATAGGATACGTTGTGAAAAATACCTACGTTTTGGATCAATCATTGAAGCAAGTTGATGTGCATAGACACGGTTACCAAAAGTGCAGATATGCATTTGATAATACTGACTAAGACAATCTAACACTTTTTCTAAATGAGGTCTTAATCGTGTATGATAAACAAGTGGTGATCCTGGCAAACGATATCGATGTACATTCTAATAAGAGAAAATGTTACCAAAACATAAGTAATAATAGCAATCATAATAAGCATACAGACTAACATGAGTAAAAATACGGGATGTTCAAAAATCTGTTTTTAAAAAATCTTACTACTAATAATGAGAAGCAGAAGTAAAAAGGTCAAAAATGTCTCGTTCTACAGAGAGAATGTTGATTTCACGAGAGAAACGGTTTACTATTACTGAATCTATTCCCAGTGTGAGCATAATTACAACACAGACTATTTACATTATGAAATCGGCTAATTTTAGTTTGACGACTCTTCAAGTAACTTTGTAGTATGTTAAGGCTTTACATAACAAGTACTCTAGCCAATACATCCCAACGACATCGCTTTGATAGGCTATTATTATTATATGGAGATAGTGGTTGAAGGTACATAGAGTGTTCAGTGTACAAAGCAACTCAATAATCAAGTTTAGGCTTATGTAATAAAGCAATGAGATTTACTGATTGTGTACGGAATACAGATAAAAATTAACTTCTAGAACCTAAATATGAAAAATGAATTTTAACCCGTGAATAGCCGAACCAAGTATAATTATCTACGAAAAATGACTTTCATCTCATAAATCTTATGGTAAAACAGACTTTTAAAAGCCAAACTAGGACAATTATTTAAGTTTAGAATGATCAGAAATAAGTATTTCCGTTAATAATAAACTAATATTCTGATCAGCAAATCAAAACAGAATATAGTGGAAAACAAACATGTGGACTAATAGTTGGAGCTAAACACTGGAATCATCCAACACCAAATCTGCTATATTACAACAGTCCTCACCAAAGAATTAAATTCACACATATATTTCGTAGAAATACGTTATAAACAAATTAATTACTTTATATTTAAAAGCTTTTGGATCATTAGTTGTATGTATTATTGTCTGATCAAGATCAACCAGCAAAACAAGTTTTCGAGCAGCCAATAAACTTTGTTGATCCTGTAAAGCGATTTCATCTGCGACCTGTTTGAATACAAAAAAAAGGTTAATGATGTTAACAAACAAAATGCACAGAAAATCTAGTGAAAGTTATATACAAAATAGTATGTCGTAAACAACACATAGTCTGAATTGCCCCTTCAGGTAATTAGTTAGTCACAATGCAGAACCTTGTACGTATGTATATCAGTTTAAGTTGTCATACCCCATTAGCACAGAGAAATGAAATTGTCTGGTCAAATCTATGGGTATTAGAGGTAGTAACAGTATCAGTAGTAATGGGAAGGATTAAGCACAGAAGGTACGATTCAAGAAGATATAAATTGACGAAAAAACAAAAAAGATTATGAGAAATTTAGAATTTCAGGATTTGGGGGAAGACAAAGAATGAATGCACCTGCGCCATTGCAAACGATTTCGAGCCATGTCATTCAAAGTCTATAACCATTGGTTACGATAACCACGCGGAACCCAACCAGTGGTCTATACCTTTTAACATGGCTCAGGCTAATTGCCGATGACTTCATCGACTGATACCATGTTCTAGTTTGGACGCCCCTAGCTTCCTTCCAGCCTAGTCCTACACCAGAAAGCATCGTCCGTCGAAGAACCTTTAGATGTTTTATGATGTTACTTAGTACCTGGAACAATACTTTTCTAAGTAGAGAAGATTTACCAGGTCATAAACAAACTAATAAACCCAGTTACATATTGTATATTCGGAAGTTGAGTCTCTTCAGTACCTCTGTGTGTTTTTAAAATACTTGGCAAATGTAGTATGATGTACGATAACCCTCTAGTTCGATAATAGATTGTTCAAGACAGATGTATAGTAAAGGATACTTTGAAGTAACCAGAATAATAACATAGAACGAGAGATTCAGTCAGTCAGCTACAACGTAGGACCAGGCACATATGTGCATCGGTCCAGGTTGCCATACCGCATCAGCACAACAAGATGAACACCGGATTCATAGCAGTGGTTAGGTCAAAGGTAGTAATATGTAAGAGAAAGATTGCATATAGAGATATAGTACAAGAAGAAAGAATTGGTTCGTAGAAAGAAAGATATGAGGCGATTTTAATCTCTTAGTTTAAGGGAAGACAGGGAGTGTATACACCGACGCCAGGCTTCCTTGGCTAAAACCCTAGAGTCTCTTTCCATTGATGTATGCTGTGTCTCCGAACGAGAGATTAGGTGACTAGCTAGTCCATGTAGAGAAAATGTGCCAATTAATAGCTTAAAGCAATATGAATCGATCTTTTCCGTTTTGGTAACACTATATTTACTTATAATCTTATCCAAGAAATAGAAAACTCTTTATCTGGTTTTATCTAACCCCATTAAATATGCTGATGTATTTCCAAAATGAACTATTATTTTTAGCCATTCTCCGAAGGAATGAATACGGGCCTTTCATCCCTAGGGTATTTATTCAACCACTATCACAACCATGACAATCACAGTGAATATTACATGTTTCGCTCCTTTTAGGTATTTTTTGGACTAATGACCGGTATTCCACATGCAAGACAGTTTAACAGTTAGGTACACTGGGAGTACCGCTACTAAGGAAAAAAAGATAAATAACTATGTGAATCACAGACATCAGTTTCGTAAAGATCTCAGAAATGGTTGACCAATAATGATCATCTTAGCAAAAAATGTGGTTCAATAATAAATGAAGTACAAAACGTTCGTTACATCTAATAAACAGTATGTAAGACGCTTTCCTATGATTATCTATTAAAACTAATAATAATAACCGCATTTGGCATCCAGATTTGTATCTTCGTAACAAATTGTAATTAAGACAAGCTGACTATCATAACTTACTGTTTCACTGACATGAAGTTCTGGGATTGCATGCACCATTGGTATACTAGCACTAGCATCAGTAATCCGTTCACCTGATATCCCTCCTTCTCTGAGGAGACGTTGAATGAAAAAAGCTAGACTTACCTACGCAAATTGGCACCGCATTCCGCACACAAGTCTTTCATTACAACGTGATGTGTGCATGGTAGGAAGTTGAATAGAACACATCTTACAAATAAAAAATTAGTAAAGATATCTTACCCAGGAACAACTACAGCACCTTCATCTTTCATCTTGGTTACCCAACCATAGCCAGGAGCTCTAATGTCTATCTTACCAGACGCGTCATCAACAAGTTCGCAGATAGAAACCGATGGGTTAACGAGTTGTCGACGATGTATTTTCCAATGTACAACCTTATCTTCAGTCACACTATCAGGAACACAAACTGGTTGCTTAGAACTACTAGTGACAGTAGTCATTCACAAAAATTGAGACTACAAAATGGAAAGTGCATAAATTTTATATTCTGCACCTAATCATTAAATGTCAACTAAAAAAGGATTTTCTGGGAAAATCTAGCACATTAATGCAATAAATGTTTAGGATGAATATTTGTACTTGAGGTATGCATGAAAATAGAATAACTATGAATACAATAAAGAGTAAAGAATGTTAGTGTTATGAACTTCATTTTTATTTCCTTACGTTTTTGCTATGGTAGTAAGTGTAACAAGTGAGGTCGGTATACATGTAGGGCCAGTGAAATCATTCGATACAGATCATCTGCCTCAGTGATCCACATACATATGTGCCAGACCCTGCGTTGTTTATATTTTTCTAATCAAAGTATGATCGATTGATTGGAAATCGAGTACCTTTACATTCAACTATTCTACAGATGCCCATATCAATGACTGAGAATGGTAGTCAAAGACACAAACCATATGGTTTAGAATCGAGATATAACCACTCGAATGGTTGCATAAAAATAGGGTTTCCGATGTGTCAGATATCAAATTTTGCACAGTCAAGCAAACCATGTTTTAATAGAAACATGGTCACATGCTTTTAACACCTCTGTGAGTACGCTAGTATTTCACTAACAGTATAGGCTAATCAGCTTTTAGATTCGTACTGGAATTACTTAGGTCTTGGATTGTGGTTAGATAGCACTTTGACATTTTATATCAGTTAGTGATGAGAACACTAAATCTCATTCCTGACCCTAATGTCTAACTGTAAACCCACATACTAATTCCTTCCACTGATTTATAATCTTCATTTAACCCTAGTAACTAGGCAGGGATTCTTAAGGTCACCTCAGCGTTGATCCAAGGTCGTCCATAAACTATAGTCTCAGAGATAATCTACCTCGATTGGAGAATAGACACCCTAATAAGTCAACATACATATTTAGCCGTATGACTAAACGATGAAAACAAGTGCAAAAACCAATTAATCACAAGGCTTTTTCTAATAATATGAACCGTATGAAACACGGTAACTAAACATATCTTACTGAACTAAACGGTGGCCAATTTGTTTCTTGACGGATGGGAATGACTACCAATGTAGGCGTCGGCTTATAGACTGGCACAGTTGAAAAATCGATGGCATTTTCCATGACCAAAAGTTACTGAAGAGTACCTGCCTAATGATCAAAATAACTAGGCAACAGCAATGTCACAAGAACGTGAGACTTATCCTAAAGTTGTGAGTTTCCGGAACATAACTGAGACAATTACCGTGAAAGTAGACTGAAAAACAAGATGTTAACGGAAGGCTAATAGAACATGAGACTTCACAGATTGATATTTAAGCATCAAATAAAGTGCTACAGACCCTTTTATGTGGTTAAAAGGTCACAGAAAATAGACCAAGATACCAGAAAACGGACATACATACGGAAAATTAAGCCGTTTGTCAATACATATTATAAAGTATAACAATAAGACCTTCCCTACATGACTAACAATTACTGTAACGTAGATGTTTGTAAATGGTTCTTAAAATTGTATGTCAGCATGCGGAGATAAAGACAGTTTATCTGTCGACCTGTATCAATCCTTGTAATATACTCTTCTGTAATAGTCACATTTCTCTTTGAAATTATTTGCCGACGAGGTTTATACTTGTTCAGGTTGGTCATTCTAGAAGTTGGGCACATAGTGACCTAAGCCTTTAATAAGCAAGCTACTTGCAGAAACAGTAGATGAAGTTAGCATTCACAAGCTTTCAGAATAGAAAAAAGTGTGGATTCTAAAAGTACGCAGGCAAGCCGCCCTTAGAATTTCGTTTTGCTTCTGCTGAAGAAGGAAACATAACCCTGTAAAATCCCGGCAAACTGACCGGATCCGAAGTTATATGGTCGTCCTGGCCTCAGTGACGATCGACTGTAATTAAACTGAACTCTGTTACGTCACTTTGACAGTCGACTTAGTGACAGATTAGAATGAAACGGGAACTATAATCCCCGCCACCTTTGTAAGCAATGGTGGTCGGTTTGTCTCATTTAGTGTTTTTTTCGGCTATTTTTTAGAGTAGCTAAGCAATTTAATGTTTTAATGGTCGAAATTCTGAAACTTGCAATAGGCTCATATCACTACAATTTAACGTGTAACTTATAAACGAAATGAATTAGAGATATGTTAGGGCTAGTGGGAATATGATAAGTATGATACATCAATATAGCATCCTATCCTGCACAAATTCTAGGCTCTCAGTTTCACCTTTCTGAATCTATATACGCCATAATATATATATAATCTCACGTTGATCATTTTCAAGTGGTTCGAATGGTTTTGTACGGAATAGAAGAAGCTTTCGCTTAACGGGCTTCCGTGTCTAGCAGCAGGGGATCACCAAATCCTCCAGTCAGGAACCTAGGTATGTTGACAATAAAAGAGGAAAAAGAAATTGGTAAATCATAGTATGATGCTGTTCTTGGTCCTTAAGAATAGGTCAAGTCGCCTCTTGAAGGACTTCTGGGAAGTCGCTTGAACTAGCTCGACCCGTAGCGAGTTTCACCATTTGACAACTCTTAAGGAGTAGAAGTTGTGTCCATAGTCCGTTCTGCTATGTTGTACCTCCAATTTCTGGGTGTTACCCCTTAGGTTTGTATTGGGACTAATTTTTAGTGGGTGTTTAAGGGGATGTTCAGAAGTGCTAAGGATGCAGTAAGCCATCGGAAGGTCACCTCTAAGACGTCTATACGCCAATGGGTAACAGTTAAGTGATTAGAGTCGCTCTTCATATGGTTTGAATTTGAGTCCTCAAACCGATTTCATGGCTAGCCGTTGGATACACTCCAGAGTGTTCTTATCTTTTTGAAGTGAGGGAGAAAATACTATGTTTCCGTACTCTAAATGGGGACGAATAAAACTGTTGAGGATTACGTGGAAAGTTCTACCGTCAAACTGGCCAAAAATGTGCTTCAATGTTACCAGTACAAGGTTCGCTCAAAAGGAATTTTCGTCACAATTAGCGTAAGACTTCAAATCATAGGGTACCAGCACTCCTAAAAATACTTTTCGATTCGGTATACTACTAGAGAGGATTTTCTTAAGTTGTAACTGTAGTCTAAAACATATCGCAGATGGGCTACTTTACACTTTGAAGTGTTAGAGGTAAGTCTGTTATCATCTGCCGAACTGTGAGGGCAAGTCAAATCCTCCTGAAGTGCCAGTACATGATCTCAGTTGTGTATCTCTCTCCGAAGATTCACGTCATCAGCAAAAAGGAATACGTCTGACGATACCCGTTGTGGAAGATCATTTATATAAATCAAGAAGGGAAGAGGTACTAGTACTGGGCCCTGGGGTACCCCACTAAAACATTCCACTGCCTAAGAGAAAGCAAAGTTAGCCTTGACCTTAAAATGTCGATTTTTCAGGTATGAAATGAGCCAATCAATTAGAGGTGATCTGATACCCAATCGTTTGAGCTTATTGATAAAACACATACGGCTGACGCTATCAAAAGCTCTTGAGAAGTCAAGGTAAATGATGTCAAACTTCCCCTTGCGATCAAGGATGCTTGTCCGTCTGTCAACCGCAGTCAGCAGGTTGGTTGTACAGGCGTGCCCTCCCCCCTGAAACCATGCTGTTGGGGTGAGGGGAAATTTGAGGACAGTAAATAGTGATGTATACATCGCATATCAGGGACTCCATGATTTTTGAGGGTATGGAGAGAAGAGCAACTGGTCGGTAACTTGAAAGTTCGCTGCATTGACCTCCTTTGAAAATTGGTCTGATGTGAGCCAGCTTCCAAATTTCCGGTAATGTGCCTCGGCTGAGCGAGTGTGAGTACACTACGCTAAGCGGTGCTGCCAGGATTGAAGCTGCTACCGTCAGTGTAGCAGAGTGAACCATATTTGGGCTAGGGGAAGTGTGTTTTCTTAGGTGCTGCAGTTTCCCGAACAACAAGTCAGCGCTCAGGTTCAATTCGAAAAGTCCTATGCAGTTGCAGATGAAGCTGTCATCAGTATAGTTGATGTGGACCGGTTGAAATGTCCGAGAGTATTGTTCAACCGGACGGTTAGCGGCGTCGCCGTCGTTATTGGTCGGGTCATTAGGACCTATCAGTTGGGAAAATCTAGTTTTGACTTGACGAAGAGAAGCTGTATAATGGTATAAGCTTTTCGGATTGGCGACAAATTTATCCATAATCTTCATCTGGTACTGAAGCCGGTCTTCTCTTATAGCATTCGTGCATACGTTCCCTGTATGTTTGTATTGCCTGTACGCAGGATGAACAGTATCCGGACCAGGACAAGTGCCTTCTCTTGGATGCCCCAGTTTCCAGAACACCAAGTCAGCACTCAGGTTCACTTCGGAAAGCCCTGTGCAGTTGCAGATGAAGCTTTCATCAACATGGTTAATGTGGGTCGGCTGAATCGTTTGAGTGTACCGTTAGCCAGAAGGTAAGCGTCGTCACCGTTGTGACGCTTACTAAGCTGGTCTGTAAAGTTACGTGCTTCAAGCACTGTGCTTATAGCAACTAAACTGGATAATACGATAACCGAGAATACTAAACTAGTCGGGTATTATATTTATTGTTTCATTAGCACAGATTTGTTACTCAAAGTAGTTAAATGTAGATAAACAAGCTTATAAACCCAAAACATGAACTATAGCCCAGTAAGACTGATTTATTACAGGACAAACGATATTGCTTTAAAACTGAAGATAAAAGTTATTTGCTAATAAAAACATATTTTACATTGCAACAAATATCTCTCCACAAAGTCAATCACTGACAGTATAATTAAAAAGACAACTATTTCATTAAGCTTACTATGACTTATGATGTTGTAGTGTGGTGTCGAGTCGCGGTTGACTATGATCACCACTAAAAGAAGACTACGTGCCAGTTAAAAGATAACATCCTCCGTAGGCTAAATATCAGAAGGCAGTTGGTGGCTGTAGTCGAGATGCGTTTGTTGGCGATCTCGTGGTGTCGAAAGAATATCGAGATCGTTCCAGGTTACAAGTGTGGTTACTGAGCGTAACCAAGTTCGCGAAAGGTCACAGTCAACGGAGGAATGTATGTATTTTGGTACAGTTTAACGAACAAGTACGGTAAAACAATCCCGGGTAAAATTGGTTATAATAATAGTTGTTTCTATTACACCAATCGCGTTCTCTTGATAAAAGTAGGTCATTACAATATCATTCCAACACTCAATGCTTGTCCGACTTAACACAATCAGATGTGGAAAATAAAAATTTCGGCCGAAGCAAAATTCGCAACATAATTTAGCTCGTTTTATAAAAAAATACATCATAGTATGGCACTCTAAATGACTACATGAAAGTTAACATAAGCATTATCCCGGTTTGCGATACATTAGGTTGATGTGACAACGTTGGGTAAAAATCCGCTCATGATGATCGAGAAAGTCAAAAACAAATGGGGCCGCCGAGATAGCGATATAACCTGGCACGTAAGGGTGTTCATATTGCTGAAGTTCGGAACTAGACGATCCCCTAGGCACTGTGGGTAATACAGTAAATTATCTGACAGAATTAAAGACGTGCTAAATGATCGAAGCCTACTTAGTAAAATGGCGGAGTTCCAAAGCGTGGTAGTGAAAGAAAATCCTGGTGTCATGACCATCTAAGAAACATGGTTAACGTCAGAAATGCATGATAAAGAAACTTAGTTACTTGGCTCCTTACTTTGTATAGCCGATAGACTAATTCATATGGATGGTGGGGCTGTCATGCACACATAAAGCGCCTAAATCACACGAGCCGTCGAGAAAGTGGCACATGACTCAGGAACATGTGAGCTGAAACGCCGCCGGTTGAAACGAAAAAGGCAAGATATTGGACCTAGATCTAGTACACATCTGTCTAGAATGAATGATGAATGACTTCACACTAAGTAAACTCAGACCCTGGTAGGTCATTTTAATGCGCCGTCTACAAATCGAAGATACTTAGAAGTAGGGTGATCAAAAACAGTATCTGACTAAACATTGTTGAAAATCACAATTGTCCTGGCTTTATTCCAGCACACTGGAGATTCCACCAGATATGACTTTCAAAACTCTGTATCAGAGGAAGTCCGGCAAGCATGCCACTCACCACCCGGTTACCATGTGTTTACTCCCCAAGCTCTTGAGTCTCCCTCAGGTGAGAAATAAAAATGAATCTACTTCAAAAGCAATGAAGAAAGTCAGTCAAACCTGAAGAACCGCTTCACTGCCTGTATAAAATAATCAGATGCACAAAGGAAATACACAAATATAATTCGTAATTGTTCGTTTCCATAAGAGCACTTGGTTTTCAGAGCGGATTGGAAGTAGATAGACACGGAAACGTATTAAAAGAAAAAATTACTTTTTTAAAACATATAAGTGTAAGTGCGTTAATTTGCCAGAAGTTGGGTTCATCACCAAACCCGGTCAAATACGTGACGTTTTGTCTATGATGGCTGTCTTTGATGACCAGGTTCGTAGCCGCGGGTGCAGCGAGTACTCTCTGACCCGGAAAAGTAGAATAT